TTCCTGCTCCATTTTTTCTGAGTTTTGCAGTAGGACTAAAAATGTGCGATGAATTGGGCAGAAGTATATGTTTGAAAGAAGAAAAGCAGAAAATCCTTTTATGTATGAGTAACACATGTAACACACATGATTTACTACTCCTGTTTCCTAAGCATGAAAGTATTGCTGTCTCAGAAACACAAAGTGCCCAAATACTTGATCTTTAGAAAAACAACGCTAATGAAGACAACTATCCCCTAATCCATCAGTTTTGTTAATGTGTTCCAGAGAAGGTAAGGGGAGCTAGGAGGACTGGAACTTCTCTTCATAGATTTTTATGCATAGTTTAGAGACGGCATCTCAGCTTCATGACACCAACTCATTTGTTAACTATCGTTTAAAAAGCATTTTCCAGAGAGGTCCTCTCCAGTACCAGAAAAACTAATGAAGTTACTCTAAAAATGTTCAGGAACCTTATTCAAACAAGAGCTTCCACCTGAGGACTTGCATGTGTACCTGCACACTGCTGAGCCGTGTATACCTGCTTATGTGATTCATGTTCCTATTTTTTCTGAGTAGAATATGTCCGCGCCTGCATTGTATGCATTTTTAGTCAAGAGGTGTTTTTTAGATGGAAGCCAGCTGAAGTACAAGGAAATATTTTTCTGTCTGACAAGACAGATGAGTGAAGTATATTTATAAACGTGAAGCCCTTTTGCTCAGTCTTTTGAAAACAAAAGGGGACAGCTTCCATAATGACAACTGAGCAACAGGGTATAATAACCTGCAAGTCAGTCATATCGTCCTATTTAAAAACAGGAGCAAAGTTTTCAGTATAATTAATTTCATGTTTGCAGATTTGTTTGATTTACTTGAAAGACAATGCATCTCTTTTCCATTAATACTGAAAACGAACCCGCCCCCCCCCCCCCCCCCAGCAGCTTGCCTGAAACCCTCGGCACCTGACAAAGTCACCCAGGTGGGGCCTGACACTGCAACTGGATCCCCCTCGCATGATAGGTACCACCGCACGGTGGACCCTATCAAAGGATCAGGCCTGCTGACTGCAAGAGCTTAAGAGCAAGGACTGATTGACTTCAATTTGTACTGCGCACGTCAACGAACAGGGTAAATAAAGAATTTAGCAGCATTATCGTTCCGTTTCCTATTTATGCCTTTCCCAGGGTTATTTTGCCAAACCTCCTTTTTGTCCATTCTCTTCTACTTCAAGGTAAAATAGGGAAAACCATTTCCGACCATTTCTTTCCATTTTACTTAGCAAACAGGGCCAGAGGGTAAAACTTCAGTTATTAAAACAAGCACACTGCAACGGTTACGGCATTGGGAGAATTAAGCCTCGGCTCGTCTCTCAGGCAGCAGTACAGCTGGAGTGGCTGAGAGGGAGAAACACCTAATTCGCTTAACCAGAAAGGAAAAAAAGAAGGGAAAAGCGTGACACAGCTCAGATTTTCATTTCCAGTGATGTCGCGAAGGGAAGCCGCTCGTACGAAGCCCGTTATTAAGCAAGCCCGCTCTCCGCCGGCCCGCAGAGGCTCTCCCCGCACAG